CTGCAGATGCATTCTATGGGTGGTTCAAACACCTTTTTCTGAAACAATGTCCAAATGTTGATTCAGTCACACTTACACCTGAACTTATGAATGCACTTGAAATGTGGATATATTATTTGTGTCACAGTTGAAAATTGAAAGTGTCACATTTACCAAAGTGGATGTACACTTGTAACACCTTGCTTTAAAAAATTCTGAAATGGTAATTTTGCACTCATCATGTGAAGGTTTTTTTTTTTATTTTTTTTGGAACTTATGTATTTTTGTCTGAAAAACACCAATTTGATAATAAAAATGTGAACAAACCATTATTTATTAAGATATTTCACTATAAAGTTACAAATTTCACCTTCTTTTCCGCCTGTCTTCTGGATCATATTTAGAACAATTTGCCCTTCTTTTTCCATCATTGGACAATTTATATATATCACACAATGTTGGACATATTTTTTTCATTATATGAGTCAACTAGAAATATGATTTCCTTGAGATTTATCCATATTTGGTGAAAAGAAGGAAGAATATCATTCAAAATAATGGCATGTGTAATCTCATTCCAAAGCACTCTATTGACATTTGACATCTCATATTTGGAATGAATATTGAATAAATGGTATGCTTGCTCACTAAATAGGGAAAACTGGCCATAAAAATCATATTTCCTGTTGAATTTTCTATCTTAAAATGTGTCATTGAAGTACATCATGAGTATAGAAAGTGTCCAATGACAAAATAAAAAGACCAAGTACCTGTAAATGCATCCAACACAAGGAGGAAAAGTAGGTAAAATTTCGAACTTCTTCTTCAAATATCTGGATAAATAGTGGTTTGTTCACATTTCCATTATCAAATCCGTGTTTTCCAGACAGAAATACTTAGTACCAAAAAAAAATTTCGAAAAAAAAAACCATTGCATGATAAGTGTAAAATTACCTAAAAAATAAATGTAGGCAATATAATAATGATATGATTCTCAAGAAATTTCATAAATGTCTTGTCAAAACATTATAATAATAGATGGTGTAGAAAAATGTTCTTAAATGCTATTCAAAATAGTGGAAATCTTATGCAGAAGTGAATTAATTTGAAAACATTTAGCCCAACCTACAGTACACCAGTGTCCTGAGTGATGGTGGATTTATGCAGCGATCGTAATCGCAAGTCTTAGTCGCAAATCGTAAGTCGTAAGTCGTAAGAAAATTCAATGATCAGATTGGTATCGGAATATTCATGCACAAGTCGTAAGTCATAAGTCGTAGTCTCAAGAATTCAACTATTACGATAAACGTTTACGATTCATCAGACAGCGCAGGCGTGTGATTTTCATTAATGACTTGAAGAGCTAAAAACTCACAAACAAGAAGAAGACTACATCTTGACTCAAGACAGAAGAATTATTCAACTTCATGTTATTCTCCCTCTATTTTAATTCACCTTCACTGTCATTTGGTTGTGTCATTTGTCATTTTTAGTCTTGTCATTTGTCATTGTGTTTTTTTAATTATCTTCCACGTGCGTCCATTTTATATTTTTTCGATTGTGTTTTCCGTTGTTGTTATTTAAAAGTGTTTAAATTGTTCAAATATGGAGAAAATTGTTAATGATGGCCAGCTCATCGAGTTGGTTAGACAATTTTCCGTATTATATGACCCCAAAAACCGGGAATATAAAAATAATGAGGTCAAGTCCAATGCTTGGAAAACCATTGCAGAAGTTATGAATGCATCAGGTAACATATTTGTGATTTCTAATTTTTTGTCCAAATAAACATATATGTGATTTTAGTTGCGGACTGTGAAGCTCGCTGGATCAGCCTGCGGACCATATATTCCAGGGAATCAAAAAAAGTCAGAACCACTCCTACAGGATCAGCAGCTACCAAGCCATGGAGGTGGTTGGAAGAAATGGCATTTTTGAGTGCCTATATGAGGAGGAGACAGTATGTGATTTCATTGTTGCATTGTTTTATTTTTATTTCTAATGTAATATTTTTAGAACCAGAGGAAATGTGCAAACGGTAGGGCCACCAGAACCAAGTCCAAGTACATCGGAAACAAGTTCTGAGAATCCCTGGGATTCCATATCGATTATCACTGGGGAGACGGAGAGTCAAGAAGAGGACCCAATTCTTGAGACCTCAAACATTGAAGAAGATTCCCCCATACCTGAAATTTCTCAAACTAGTACACCATCCTCGACACCATCAATGACAACAATGCGGAACGAAAGAAGTAAGCGGAAAAGAACAACTTCCACAACGACCACAACTGAACTGATGGAAACAATCAATAAAGCCTGGGGAACATTTGATGCTGCATTTCAACAAAAAAACAACAGTCAGGACAATGACAATGCAGACACTACATTTGGGAAGATGGTGGGACTCGAATTAAGTGAAATAAAGGACAAAAATATAAAATTCAATGCAAAACAAAAAATTTTGAAAATTTTACATGAAGCAAGCAATGAAGATGAATGATTAGTTGTTCATAATAATATACTATATTCCATAATAGTAAATATAAAAATTAAAACCAATATTGCATTTTTAATTCTTATCAATGTACTCTCTCCAGGTTTTCATTACAAAAACTCTGTTATTAAGTATTTATTTTTCTCTTATTCCAAATAATAACAAAAACAAGTGATTATATACATTTTTGCAATTGATTTATTCAATTATTGTTGTACTTTTTACAGGATAACATAAATATAGTTATGATAATCATATACACATGGTTTCATACCTAGCTGAACTAAGATATTTGGTTTATTTTGTGACTTTTTTATAATTTATCAGGTAAAGATCCCTTCATTATTGACTCTAATTGCCAATTCACACTTCCTTCATTACTATTAAAATAATCACATAACATATCTCTGTTTGCTCTAGCAGATGCTTTTGCATTGTTGGATCCTAATTTACCCACACTTCTCATAGTAGGCTTCTTCCTAGGCTTTTCTTGTCCCTGTGTTCCAGGTAAGTCTTCTGATTCCCCTTCTGTATTGCCAGTTGGACAATAAAATCTCTCTGATATAGGAATGTCCTCCTCTGCCCTTTGTACGAAATTGTGGAGCACAACTGTGGCCAAAGCAATGTTTTCACATGTTTGCACGTCTCCAACTATTGGCTTTCGCAAAATTCGCCACCTTTGAGCCAGTATGCCAAAAGTATTTTCAATACAACGCCATGCTCTGGACAATCTATAATTGAATATCCTTTTTCTTTCATCTAAATTTTCATTTGGATATGGGCGCATGATATTTTCAGTTAGAGGAAATGCAGAATCACCTACAAAAAAATGAGGCAACACTGTGTCAGCAGTATTTGGTAAACAGCGACCTGGAGGTATTTGACACCTATTCTTCAACACAGCATGTCCAAAACCAGACTCTTTAAAAACCGTTGAATCATGGTTACTACCAGCTGCGCCTATGTCAACTGCAGTAAATCTGTAGAAAGCATCACAGCTAGCCATCAAAACAATGCTGTGGTGTTTTTTATAATTGAAAAAAAGAGAGCCCCTATGATATGGTGCCTGGATGCTAATATGTTTGCCATCAACGGCTCCTACACAATTTGGCATGTTCCACCTTTTGAAGAATCCCTCTGAAACGTTGTACCATTCTTGTTCTGTTGATGGTGACTTCAAGTAAATTGGTCCTAATACATCCCATATTATTTTGGTGGTTTCATGAATTATCACACATACTGTTGAGTGTCCAACCATATGGCTCAGAGCAAGTTCTTGCATGGAACATCCCTCAGCTAAGTAGCTACAAGAAAATTAAAGTATTGAGATCCTTTGTAAATAGCCATGCTCACATTGGAATGAAAGATGATCAATAAAAAAGTAATTTATAAATTATTTGAAAGCAATAAACTCACTGTAATGTTATTACAAGGCGTTGAGCAGGGTGTATTGGACGCTTCCTTTGATCTTTGACCAAGTGAGGTTTTATCATGTTCAGCAAGTGGAAAAAAAGTTTTGGAGTCAGTCTGCAATATTTAAAAAAGCCTTCTTGGTCATGTAGCAACATTGACTGTAAGGTATTATTGAAAATGCCCTTTTCTTTCCTTAATCGATTAATAGGCTTGACAGCATATCTTCTTGGTTTTCTCTTGTTGACCATCAAATGGATTGTGGTAGTTGTTAATAATGTTAACATGAATAGTGCATTCAAGTGGTCATCCATATTTTCTAGCACTTCCCAGACTTCCAAAATCTGAAATGAAATCATCATCATCATGAACTCTATTCCCAAACTCTAAACAATAATTTTGGTAGGTATTTATCAATAAAAGATACCACTTACCAAACTAATCAGCTGCCAATAGGATACAAATAATAAAAATTTCACAATTGCAATAACTCACTCCTTCGATATTCACTCAATACTAATGCAATTCTATTTTGTGTATTCCTTTTATTCAAAACCAGGTACCAAAATCTTAAGTCATTACTCTACCAAAACCAATATAGGTAATTGACAATGAATCAATGGATTACCAGGAACAGGCCATTTGAATCAAATGATATGATCATTGGAAAGAGGTAACTAGGCAATCATTAAAAAAACCATTAATTGGATTATTACAGGTAATCCATGGGATATTCATTTTAATTTTCAGGTTATCTATTTGAATTTAAGTATTGTGAAATGCGATTGCGCAAAAACAACCAATGAAATACATTTATTATTAGGGTTAGGTGTTTCTTAGGATTTCTTAGGATTCATGCATGAATCAAATGTTCAATTTCTTAAGACTACAACTTACGATTTGCTACTAAGACTTGCGATTACGATCGCTGCATAAATCCACCATAAGACACTCCTTGCATATTGAGTCAGGGGAATTGATAACCAGGAGCTAGATGGTGAATGTTTTACTTGCAGTTTTGTCTGCAAAGCTGCTTCAGATTTGTGTTCAAATTATACTATATTATATGAGATATTATACTCCTACCATGACCCAACCTGTACATCAGTATACTCACCAAGACCATTATTGATACAATATCATTCAACACCATCTCTACTTCAGTTTCCTGTCCCTCTTTGAAGCAAGTTTCAGAAACACCAATTATTTTATGTAAATCATCCTCAATTCCTTTTGGAGATTTATCTTCTGAAATCTCTGCTCCCAGGCCTTTCAGGTATACTCGAAGTTCTTGAGCCTGAAATAGGTGATGAAGTAGGTATACATGATGATAAACTTGGTGTTGGATGTTTCAAACTCAAGTATCAATATAAATGAAATTTGAGATGAACAATCATAATTTACCTGATCCTCAGGGGACATATCAATAAAAACTGGTGGTACCTGCATACTTAATAATATTCCTTCAAGCCTTCAATATCTATCACTGAATTTTCCTTCTATCTTATGACTACTTTACCTAAACAACAAAACTCAAAGCATGGACACATGGATCCAGGATGAACATTGAATATGAAATGAACATCACGGAAACAGTGTTGCCAACTCGAACCCAGGTTGCGTCAAGGCTGTGTCAAGTCTGTGGTTTGACCTAGGGTCCCTTGATGAAATTTGACGTTAAAGTCATCCTAACAGGGTACGGACAGATCATAGCTGCATTCTTTTTTAATGATCTAGAGATTTTAGTTTTGTCTACTGGCATCCCTGACATTGCTGTCACGTCACATCCATGGGCGCCACAGAAAATCATTCAAAATCTCAATTATAGTTATGTACAGGGTATTTACTTGTTGAGGAAGATCATATGGCGAACGAGTTTTGTAATTATGATCCGATTCTATTCAAAATTGGAAGGTATGTGGGTTGTGAGTTTCCGGGGTTGGAGATAATAATTATTTCGTCAAAATTGGGAGTTTTGTAACGAAGACCCGATTCTATTCAAAATCGATATCTGGGGGTTTTCGGGATAGGAGATAATGATTGTTTCGCCAAAAATTGAAACATTCAAGATGACGGATCCAATATGGCGAAAGACATTAGTTTATATAGTTATTACTCTACCACAAATAGAAAATATGTAGGATGCAAGAATGAAAATAACGTGCCTATAAGTTATACTGCGTATACTTAGCGTATACCTTCTTTGTTACTTTCATCAATAAATTATTCGAAAATGACTCTTTATTCAAACGAGAGTGAAAAACCATATGTATAACATGGGGATGAAGTATATCTATTCTTTATTTTCCTGCACATTTTACGTATTGATTTTTATCAGCCTACTTTTCGCCATAGTGTGATATTAGTAACTCCATGAATTCTTCTCCGAGTTGGATTTCTGAAAATACATTTAGCACACATGACATGAGTACAGTAGTCCAGATACCCACATCGAGGTTTCCACCATTTCTCAATCATAAGGCTCAGCTCATTCAGCTCATAGGTAAACTACTGCTCAGCTTGAAATCAGAATTTATTCAGTCAATTCAGTCGACCCTGGTATACAGTCTAAGAACAGTCTCTTTTGCTGAAATATATCGAGCTTTCAGTATAATTTATATGTTCCCTAAATCGCAAAGATTATGCTGGAGTAGTAAACTCTAAAACTAGAGGATTATTCATCTATATCTTGGTATAGTTGAATCAAGAATTCCATATGGAAATTACGTATGATACGCCAGTGACCTCAATATAACCTAAAAAACAACTAATGTCAAAAATCTAGTGTTTATCCCCAGAATTGAATAAGGATGGAACTATATAACTGTTTCACAAACACTTTAGAGTGAGAGGAGACGAGGATCTGTCCGTACCCTGTTATGATGACTTTAACGTCAATTTCCATCAAGGGACCCTAGTTTGACCTAGGGTCCGGGTACGGACAGATCATAGCTGCATTCTTTTTTAATGGTCTAGGGAGTTTAGTTTTGTCTACTGGCATCACTGACATTGCTGTCACGTCACATCCATGGGCGTTACAGAAAATCATTCAAAATTTTGATAATTGGTATGTACAGGGTATTTACTTGTTGTTGTTGAGGAACATCATATGGCGGACGAGTTTTGTAATTATGAACCGATTCTATTCAAAAATTTGAAGATATCTGGGGTTTTCCGGGGTTGGAGATAATGATTGTTTCGTCAAACTTGGGAAATTTAAGATGACGGATCCAATATATAGCGAAATAAATTTCTAATTATGATTTGATTCTATTTAAGATTGATAGTATCTGAGGGTTTTTGGAGTTGAACTTCATGATTTTTTGTCAAAATTGTGAAATTCAAGATAGCGGAATCATGATCCGATTCTATTCAAAAATCAATATTGGTATCTATGGATTTCCGGGGTCGGAGATTATAATTATTTCAACAAAATTGGGATACTCATGATGGCGAATCCAGTATGGTGAACGAGTTTTGTAATGAAGATCCGATTCTATTCAAATGTGGTATCTGGTGGTTTTCGGGGTAGGAGATAATGATTGTTTCGTAAAAATTGGAAAATTCAAGATGATGGATTCAATATGGCGAAAGACATGAGTTTATATAATTATTATTACTCTACCACAAATAGAAAATATGTAGGATGCAAGAGTGAAAATAACGTCGTGCCTATAAGATATACTGCGTATACCTACTTCTTTATTGTTACTTTCATCAATAAATTATTCGAAAATGACTTGTTATTCAAGGGAGATTGAAAAATAAGGTGGAGTATATTCTTTTTTCAGCCTACTTCTCGTCCTAGACGAAATTTTATACATAGTGTGATATTAGTAACTCCATAAATTCTTCTCCGAGTTGAATTTACGAAAATATATTCAGCACACATGACATGAGCACAGTAGTTTAAATACCCACAATGAGGTTTCCACCATTTCTCAATCAAAAGGCTCTGCTTATTCAGCTCATAGATAAACTACTGCTCAGCTTGAAATCAGAATTCATTCATTCAATTCAGTCAACCCTGGTATACAGTCTAAGAACAGTCTCTTTTGGTGAAATTGAGATGTCTCTAGGCATCTTAGGTGGAATATATCAAGCTTTCAGTACAATTGATATGTTCCCTACCTCGCAAAGATTGTGCTGGAGTAGTAAACTCTAAAACTAGAGGATTGTTCATCTACAGGGTGTTTCACAGGTAAAGGGAAATATTTCAATGGTAGATAGGGGTCCCCAAGGAGGTTCTGAAAATACCATATTTGATAGGTCTTAGAGTTTTCATAACGGAGATACAGGGCGATTTTTCGATTTCGAATAATTATTCATTCGTCTATAAGTATTGAACTATACCCAGTATATTTTTTTAAAATTTGATATGGAGCTTAAACTTGGGACGTTGAATTCATTCACCTATCGGGCGAAGAGGAAATCCAGGTTCGGCTTCAGGAAAAATTCACATTCATTCGAAATATTAAAATAACACACTGTATGTGATAATTGACAGAGTTCATCAAAAGAATCGTAAAGAGGAGGAAAAACTGAACTGGATTTGATGCTCCTTGTTTTCCCGCCACCAATTCTCATCGTAACAATCATAAACAGGAAGCTGAAAGTATGTCAATTTGAAGAGTATTGAAATTATGAAACCAGTGTCAATTATGATTATTCGATATATTTTTGCCAAAAAATCGCTCGAAAGAACTTACTAAATCTCACAGTTTTTATAACGGAGATACAGGGTGAATTATCGGTATTGAATAATTATTCACTCGTCCATAAGTATAAAACTACCCAGTAACATTTTCTCAAATATGGTATGTAGCTCACTTGGGACAATGGATTCATTAACCTATCAGGCGGAATTATAATTCGATAATTCACCCTGTATCTCTGTTATAAAGACTATGAGACTTTTCCTGAAGCTGAACCTGTATTTCCATTCTGCCTGATAGGTCGATGAATCCATCGTCCCAAGTAAGCTCAATAGCAAATTTGAGAAAATATTACTGCGATGGGTAGTTTGATACTTATGGGCGAATGATAATTCACCCTGTATCTCTGCTTTTTAGACTGTGAGACACAGTAAGTTCTTTCGAACAATCAGTTTACGAGAATATATCAAATAATCATAATTGAAAGTGGTTTCATAATTTTAATACTCTTGAAATTGAGATACTTTCAGCTTCCTGTTTATGATTGTTACGATGAGAATTGGTGGCGGGAAAACAAAAAGCATCAGATCCAGTTCAGTTTTTCCTCCTCTTCACAATTCCTTTGATGAACTTTGTCAATTATTACAAACAGTGTGTTATTTTGATATTTCGAATAAATGTAAATTTTTCCTGAAGCCGAACCTGGATTTTCACTTCGCCTGATAGGTGAATGCATTCAACGTCCCAAGTTTAAGTTCCATACCAAATTCTAGAAAAATATACTGGGTAGTTCAAAACTTATAGACGAATGAATAATTATTCGAAATCGATAAATCGCCCTGTATCTCCGTTATGAAAACTCTAAGACCTATCAAATATGGTATTTTCAGAACCACCTTGGTGACCCCTATCTACCATTGAAATATTTCCCTTTACCTGTGAAACACCCTGTATATCTTGGCATAGTTGAGTAAGAAATTCCATATGGAAATTACGTATGTTACGCCAGTGCCCTCAATATAACCTAAAAAAAACGAATGTCAAAAATCTAGTGTTTATCTGAGGTTTATCCCTAGAAATGAATAAAGATGGAACTATATAACTGTTTCACAAACACTTTAGAGTGAGAGGAGACGAGGATCTGTCCGTACCCTGTTAAGATGACTTTAACGTCAATTTCCATCAAGGGACCCTAGTTTGACCTAGAGTCCCTGTATATACCTTATTAGATAAGAGTCCGGACACAGCTATACTTCTGTCCTTTTCTGTTTTCAAAAAATGCATAAAGGAATAAGACATATATATCGAGCTCTGTCTTTTCAATTCCCCTAGTATCAATGATTGTCAGAAACAAATTTGAGGGTTAGATTATTCGTCAAACCGTTCATAGACGTAGGTAGAAGTGAGAAATAGGGCTATTTAAACTAGAATAACTATTAGATTTTCAAATAATGAACAACCGGATGTTCAAATTTCGAATCGATAATTTCCATAATCAATTCCTGAGATGGCTATTGCAAATTTTTGTCATCAGATATTTCTTCACTTCATTTGATATAAGAAAGATAATTTAAGCAGTGTTCTACGTGGTATCACATATAGATATAAAAAAATAGAAGATATATATTTGCCATTTCGTCAAAGCAAGGGAAGCAGTCTCTCTCAATGTCCGGGTAATTCTCTATTTTCATTTTCAACTAATGGAGAGATTCTACCAATATTCCTGGATTGAAAAGTTTGACCGGGCACATACGTTCAGTATGAAGTCTGACTATCGGTTTGAGGTTTGACCAAACAGCTGTTTGGGAATATTCGTCACGTTTCAAACCTGCTCACAAAGTTACCACGTTAACTTTTGATGGGAGTTCAGTCAACCATTGGCCATCCTGGCATTACCACTGTGGTCGAACGAA